GTAGATGGTCCAGGGGCTACATCCTGAAATAAATGTTTTTATATCTGTGGTCCTAAAAATGTACTGCTTTAAGACATTTTAGCAGTAAAAGGAACTTGAAACCAGGAAGCCATGGTAAGGGTGGTGGTGGTGGTCGGGGGGTGTCCCAGGCTTTGTGAAATGGGACTTGACACTCCCCAAATCTATGAGAAGAAGGTCATAAATTTTTAACCCAAATGAAAAACAAAACAAAACAAAACAAAAACACCGAGGGAAGAGTTTCACTAAGAACACACAAACACTAAGGAAGAATTAAAAAACACATAACTAGTTTAGTAATATTGAACTATTTTAAAACTAGAGGGCTGATTTTAGTCCTGTTTGCTGGTTTAGGGAGGTGGTGTCAGTAATGAGTATGGATCCACCTCCTGGGCTTCGGGCAGCATCAGCCAGCATGGTGAGGGGTGCGGGCTGAGGCTCTGGGAGAACCCTGCCTGCTGGGCTGCAAAGGGAGAGGTAGCCGGGCTCCCCACCCTCCTGCTTTCTCTGTTGTCAACTCCTGTCCTCTTTCTGGTTCTGAGTGTGTCTCACCTTCTCTCGGGCTATTCTCTGTGTCTTCATTTATGTGTTTTTCCTCTCTCTCTGCTTCTATTTCTACCTCTCTCTTGTCTTTCTTTCCACCTCTCTCAATCCCTGGTTTTGATCAAAACAATCTTTAACTGGTCAAAATAGAGCTGAATGATATACTGTAATATGTTTTTATGTATGGTTTATAGACTGAACAGTATTTTCTGTTTTCTGCCTCATACAAAGGCAGGCAGGTGGGTATAACTTTTTCTGTTAATCCAGAAAACAAATATATGGTGGTTTTCATATGTATGACCCTTGATTGATTCCTACCAAACCTTCTCCCCCAAACCAAGAAATTGGGGGCCAGCAATAGGATAAAAGACCCAGCCAGAGCTCCTAGCCTAAAGCAAGAGAGGACCTATACTTGTTGCCCGCTATGTGGGTGAGAAGCATGATGGCAGGGAGCATGCAAGGGTGTGGGGCGCAATCTGGGTATATGAAATGGAGATCCCAGTTAGCAACTGCCCGCTCACATGGCACCAGGCCTTCCCGTGTCAGCCTCTGCCACTGTCCAGCCTCTGCCTTGACCCTCCCTGAGCAAACTGCTGCCCCAGGACCTGCGCTCACCTGGTGTTGAACCCTCCACCCCTTTGCTGTGCACTCCCTCTGTCTGGCATGTCTTGGCCACCTGCCCATCCACTGAGGTCTTCCCTGATCCACCGAACCAGCTAGAACAAATTCCTCCTGCTGCCCCACTGTGGTCAGAGGTGGGGGCTCAGTCATCCTGGTTCCCCAGTGCCCAACACAGTGCCTAGCACAGAATAGGTATTCAATTAATGTTGGAAAAGGGAAGTGGGATTCCACATAGAACCTTTTGTCTCCCACTTTAGCAGAAGGAAATCAAAGTGGGCAAACTTGGCCCTAGCTCAGAGGTTCCCTCCCAGATCTGCTCTCCTGCCTGCAGGCCTGCCCCCGCACACCTGCACCCACCCAGTCTCCAAGGCTCCCTCCCCCATGAGGCCTGACTCCTACGCCTGTCCTTTACCTGAGCTTCCAGCTACCTGCTCTGTTGTTACCTTACGTGGGCCTCTCTTATGTTTCCACACCCCCATGTTAGGCACACACAAGACTGCCACCCCACAGTGAGCCAGCCCCCCGAGGGTGACACTTCCACAATGACCAGATGAAATGAGCAAGGGAAGGCATCTCTGCCAGTCCTTGGCAGAAGAAAAAGCTAGAACCCACCGTCCTGCTGGTCGACAGGAAGCGGGGAGAGGGTCAGGCCCAGCCTCCCAGCGGGGAGAGGAGGCACTGAGTGCTGGGGGTCACTCACCCCCAGCAGCACGGGATCAGGGATGAAAACGTTACACTACCTTGTTGGCCAGTGGGTCTCCCGGTCCATCTTCGCCTTTCCCAACACTTAGCTCTGACTGCTCGCAATTAGTATCTGAGAGGCAAGCTAAAAGAGTCAAGCTGCATTACAGAGAACCCCAGAAAAACTGCAGGGCACAGCTCCTCTCGTGGAGAGTGGCTCAAATGGCAAAGCTTGGTTCTTCACCTACTCAGCTGGGCCTTGCCAAGGAAATAAGATCAAGAAAGTGGCGTTCGACTTTAGTATTTATTTAAAATTGGAAAAACGGTTTGTTCGTTTGTTTGTTTTTCTGAGCAGGCACAGACCACAAGCACGTCACAATCAATTGGCTATACATGAATAGTTCTGTCATTTTCGTA